CTATGGACACGTGTCAAGCATTGAGGATGGTGGTGAGAGTACACCTATGATTAAAGTGGTGAGCAAAAATGCTCTCTTTTTAGCCTACTGCCACCTTCTTTTTATATATATATATTTTAATGAATAGTCTATTGCTAATTTTCCTTTCACTGATAAACTTCTTCACACATAATCCCTTTAAGTGAAAAAAAAAATTAAATAAATAAAAGAACGAATTGGTACACTACAGTAGCTGCACCTTTATGTTCTACTCTTTGGTGCGTATATAAGGTAAATTTAGCCCACCCCATTTTAAGATCCTGGATCCACCCCTGCTTTGAGTTGAATTGAGTGAAGTTGAATTTATTAAAGGATCTGTCATTAAAATGGTCCACAAAGATAGGCACTATTAATCAATCATTCTATAGTATGAAGACCTATCTCTTAACTGTTGGATCAACCTAATCAATTTAATTCAACGACTAATTAATTTGATTCAACGGTTAAGAGATAGGGTCTCATCTAAGGACTTTAGATAAGGTCCTCGCTATAGAATTCTACCTATTAATCAACCAAGTCAAAACAGTAAATGAATTATTAATTCCTTTTCATAAATTAAAGGCCCTGTGAAAATTCCTTTTCAATTTTAGTCTTTAGTTTTCATTTTTTGTGCTAGAGTATAGAGGAAAATAAAATTGAGAATGGGAATGAGAATGAGAGTGGAGATGAGATTGAGAGGGATGATGGACTAGACCTTGTTAAACACACATACACAAGGGTGCGATGAAGGTTCGAACTTGAGACCATTGGTCTACAATTCAATGCCTTTTTTCACTGGATTAGACCCCATTGGCCTCAAACTCGCAAATTAAATTATTAATTATGTGTATTTTTTATTTTCTTGATATAAATATAGAAAAGTTGATAGAGGTCCAAAAATCCAACCAATAGTTGGGTCTAGTCCTCGAATTATTGTTTGTTGATACAAGTTCTTTGACTAGTTTGCCACGTAGATTACATTCCTTCTTTGACATGTTGATTCAAAGTTTTGTATTTAACTTATTTGTATTTAAATTTTTTGTTCCTACTATATCCATATTGTCTAAAACGGGTAAGATGAGGATTTATAGGCCATTAATAATTAGATTTAATTATGTACAATTAAAGGAATAATTACATTTTGAATGTAACTGTCGAACCTTCATTTTTTTTCCTTGACTTCTGCAAATTTCTATTTAACATGGATTTTATTATTGCACATACTTTTAGGATTATTTATTATTTTGGAGATACAATTTCTCCTTGAATTTAGCATATTAACTAGATGCACGTTTTTGTTTCTTATTCTTCATCTCTATCTTCTTCTTTCTCCATTTCTTCTTCCTTCTTCTTCGTTCTCCATCTTCTTATTTTCTTCATTTATATATGCCTTATGGTAGAGAATGTTGATCTTGTACAGTCAAATGATAATATGTACATTGCCACATATAGTTCCAAAGCCTCCTCATGCTGATGATTTTGAATGAGACCCAAGATCATGGCATTCCATGTTACAAGATTCCTTTTCCCTTTTGTTTTCTTCGAAAAGTTGTAGGTAATTATTTTTATTTTTGTTCGCCCTATGGTAGAGCTATAGTATATACTCTTGTAGATATATTATCCTATGGTGTAGGTATACTGTCCTATTGCTTATTGCCGATTGCATAGGTATATATGTGTTTTTTCATATTTTAGACAATGAATAATAGTATTTTATAGGTAACATACAATTTTATTTGTCTATTTTTGTATATGAATTATATTTAGTCTTCTAATTTATGTTCATAACTTACATGTAGTATTGTAATTTATGTTCATGACTTATAACGATTTATCACTAAGTTTTTTTCGTTGCTAATAAGAACATTATTTACCTGTATGTTAGGTACATAATTTAATGTGGGTGCTTGCCTAATCGATTAGTATAATATGCGGGTCTTTACTTTCATTGATTAATTTGTATTTTACCCATACATTAGGTAAATATTATCGTTGAAAGAATTCAAAATTCAAATTCTGAACTTCAATTACAAGTAAATAATTCATGAAATTTAGATTTTCAATGTTTTCCTTATTTACCTCAAAGGGTAAAATCGACACAATAAAAAGAGTAATAAAAATCAAAAGACCTACATCTAAAATAAAAAACGCCTGAACTAAACCCAATAATAGCTAATTGTTTTAGACCTAAATCTAAGAACACCTATAAAATATTGAGGTTCGAACTTGAAATTGAAAAAAAAAAAAGTATCACTAAACCAATTATTAGTTGTATATTCTCAATTAAAAAGAGCATTTCCTGCAAAATACTATAGTTGGTATCCTATAAATTGTGTAGGTAGACATTATGTTTTCAAAGACAGTGAGGGTGTGGGCCTGGCATCTCCCCAAGACATTACTAGTAGAATCACACCAAAAGTTGAAAACATCAAAACTCTTTGGAGGTTATTGGATTGAGTAGGGACAACAAATTTAATTGGTCAGCCAGACCAGAGGCCCCCAGATTTAGAATTGGTGTACCATTGAATGGTCTTAATCGTTTGACTGTCATAAAGGTATCATCTAATCTAATCTAATCTATATATCAGGTGCCAATTCCAAATCCAACTTCCTTTCAAACTTTTTTTAATCTTACAATCCTCTTCAAGGTTTTGCTTTCCAAAGTTGGATCATCCAAAAGAATCTTATCAGGCCCCCCTCCCTCCTCTTCACCTTCTCCGACAATGTCTTATTTCTGCACCTCGACTCATCTATGACTTTATTTTATCAACTAGCTATAGCTGCAAAATAAAGTTGCAAGTTATGCTACTCTATGCACGTATATATTTTGTTAGGTTCACCGACTAAACTTCTCGGTAAGTTTATTCCCATGTCTAATCGCACAAGATGGCATGTACACATTGAAACATGTAATATGCCAGCCAGGTGTCGCAATTTATGTTCAAGGAGCCAAGAGTGATCAATTCAGTCAACAAAACTAATAGAACAAGGAGCCATGAGTGATCAATTCAGTCAACAAAACTAATAGAACAAGGAGCCATGAGTGATCAATTCAGTCAACAAAACTAATAGAACAAGGAGCCATGAGTGATCAATTCAGTCAACAAAACTAATAGAACAAGGAGCCATGAGTGATCAATTCAGTCAACAAAACTAATAGAACAAGGAGCCATGAGTGATCAATTCAGTCAACAAAACTAATAGAACAAGGAGCCATGAGTGATCAATTCAGTCAACAAAACTAATAGAACAAGGAGCCATGAGTGATCAATTCAGTCAACAAAACTAATAGAACAAGGAGCCATGAGTGATCAATTCAGTCAACAAAACTAATAGAACAAGGAGCCATGAGTGATCAATTCAGTCAACAAAACTAATAGAACAAGGAGCCATGAGTGATCAATTCAGTCAACAAAACTAATAGAACCATTATTGGCAAGTCAGTTATCAGCTTTACTAATTTTGACCATGAACCAGAGTTGATATGATGATGACCACCAAGTTCTAGGGTTTAGGCATAAAGCTAGCTAGATTTTCATTTAAGAGTCTAAAGCAGCAGCTATATCCTTGTATAAGACAACAAGTTTCCTTCAAGGTTGAGAATATTGCTTGATCATTTTTAATCTAATCACACTCTTGTCTGTCTGCATGAATGTCAGATCAGAAAAATTGCTTAGCCGAAAGTGCAACCCATTCCCCCATGCTTATGAATTGATGCTTGTAAAATCATCTATCCATCTTACAAACAAACTGCTCATAGCAACAAAGTTTTTCTTTTCTTTTCTTTTCTTCTTAATGTGAAAAAAGAAAAGAAAATTACAAAGAGAAACCCGAGAAACTTCTTATTGTTATAGCCATATGAAAGCCTACTAAAATTGTAGGCAGATGTAAAATTCCAGCACAAAATGTTCAAAGATTTAGAATTAAGTCACTCTTTTGTTTTTGTGTTCGGGCAAGAAAAGGGTTTGATGAGCACACCGGCCCTTTTTCGAGGTCTAGCAGAAATGACAACATGGGAATCAGAAAGCAGGCTAGGATTCTCAAATTCTAATATAGTTGCTCAAAGTGCAATAAATACATGGAAATTCTTATCCAATCTGTAGGAATTCAATTCTCTATCTCGCTCTCTGCAAGCCCTTGCATCTTTGACTTTGATCCCAAAATACTCAATAGCCAATGACTGCAAAAGTAAAAGCAGTGTTTGCAATGCAAGAAAGAGCAAAGACAAAAACTTGGTAGCAGAAAGAAACAGACCAGAGAATATGAAAGCTAGGTCCCAAAGATCATCATCCCTTTTCAACTCGGGTTGGGTTCATCATTTGAAGGCCCTTCAGAAGAGAGCATAAGATCCAGACAAAGAGAAAGAGAGAAAAAATTAAATTAAGCAGTGAAAAAAGGAAAGAGAAAAAGTACTGATCATTGAACAACAGCATCTCATACAATTAATGCTTCTCAACATAAAATCAACAGAGTCTGAGATTCGTGGACGAAAACGAAAAGGCATGGGATTGAAGGGAAGAGAAGTAAATGAATGACACAGAAACGTACAAACACATGTAAAACAAAAAACTAAAAAAAAAGAGATGGTATATATAGAAAACGGAAAATGCAGCATGGATCGCACAAGTCTTATTATTAAGACCACACAAAGCCTACGAACAAATGGTCCTCCCTCTACACTCTATGATGATCATAACCAACACCTAAACACTGCAAACTCACCAACATTGATCAACCCATTTCATTAAATTAGTAGGATGATTAAGCAAAGATATATGATTAATATATTTTACATGCACTAATTAATAATGAAATTATCAAATGCGGCACATTCACAACAATGAGAGAGATTTCACACTCATCTAAATCAAGTGTTCAAATAACACGGATGATGATCACTACACTAGTCAATAAATTTAAGAAAAAAGATTTAAAATAAAAAGAAACCCTAATTAAAACACTAATTAAAATCCCGGAAAAGCAGTAGAATTTCTCAACAAAGTCAGCTGCAGGCACATGATGATGATTTTTGTTCCTGATCAGTTTCGCCACCTTGACCAGAAGAAATTTACCTCTAGCTGATAAATCCTACTACAACTGCTAGAGCTAGCCAAGTGTTGTCCTAATTAAACTAATAAGTACAAAAGATCCAGAAGATCGGTCGACTGAGAGAGAGAGAGAAAGAGAGAGAAATGATGAGATGAAGATGACCAAGAATGATGATATACTTGTGCGTTTTGGGTTGTTTTTCATGTTCATTGTCTTCCTTGTTCTGGGTTTGTTTGGTTTCTAGCTTAACAAGCATGATCAGCTAGCTAGGGTTTCTTACCCAGAGTGTGCTTGTTGTTATGCATCCAAACCTTGAGGACGTTACGCTTCACTCCAGTCTCGTTGCAGAACTGCTGAATCGCCGGCTCGTCCTGCTTCTGAATCCTCCACCCCAGCGTCTCCGCCAAAGTTAACATCCTCTCCTTCTGCTCCGCCGTAAACTTCGTCCTGAACCTCTTCTTCCCGGAAGACGCCGTTCCATGTACACCCCCTCCCATTCCCAAACCCCCTCCACCGCCGCCGCCTCCGCTAGGATTCGACACGTCGTCCTCCTGCTCTTCCCCCCTGCTGTGGGTCCCGCCCCCTCCTGACGTCGACGGCAGCGCCAGCGGCCTGTGGTGCGGCGCCACGTGGAGGTACCCTGCTGGCGTCCGGTAGTACGGCGAGAACTGCGGGTGGTTGTGCTGCCCGTGGAGCGGCACCAGCTGCCCATACGGGTCTGTGGGGCGGCGCCACGTGGAGGTACCCTGCTGGCGTCCGGTAGTACGGCGAGAACTGCGGGTGGTTGTGCTGCCCGTGGAGCGGCACCAGCTGCCCGTACGGGTCGGCGTTCATGAGCGCGAGCCCGCCCGAGTCGCCCTCCTTGCGGTGGAAGTTGCGGTGGCAGTTGCAGGCGGCGCATTTTAGCGCGTCGAGCGTGCCCTCCGCACCGGCCGGCATGAACTCGCCGCACCCGTCGAGCGCGTGGCCTCCAATCCCGACCGCGTGGTTCTTCAGGCACTCTCTGTACCTCGCGGCGCCCTTCCTCTGCTGCTGTTGCTGTTGTTGTTGCTGCTGCTGCTGCTGAGACGCCGCCGCCGCCGCCGCTATGGCTGCCACGCCCTCGGGCCCAGAATTCGACATTTTGACCCGGACGCCACCCGCTGAGTTTCCAAGCGAGTCGTAACTGGCCGCCATCTCCATCTCTTCGTCGTGCTCCTCTTGATCCTCAAACTCCATATCAATTAATTAAGGGGAACCAAAAACGAAAAAACCCCCCAGAAATTTATGAATCAGAGAATCAACCCAGAAAGAAAACCCCAAAAAGAAGAAAGAAGAAGAAGAAGAAGATAAAGAGGACTGAGTTTAGAGAGAGAAAGAGTAGAGAGAGAGTGTTTGTGTGTATGTGTCAGGTGCAAATTTGTAGTGTTATCTCTCCTCTCACACACTCTCCTCAACACTTAGCTCAGCTCCCTGCAAAAGGAGTTTTGTCCACCTTCAAACCCCCTTCATATACTTTCCCGTTTTCTCAACCCCCACCGGCTACTCCCGGTTAAACCGGTCATTTTCACCTTCTGTCTCAGTTTTCTCACCGCGCGGTAAATTTCAGAGGTAGAGAGAGATGGGCTTGGGAGTGTCAGACTGTCACTGCTACTAGTACCAGTCTGAAAACAAAAAACAAAAAATAAAATATTAAAAAAATGAAAAAGAGAAATGAACCAAAAAGACAAGGGAATTTTTTTTTTGGAAGTGCCCCACGCGCCCGGCAGAAAGAGAGGCGGTGGCGGCGCGTGAAGTATAGCGTACTGTGGCAGAGGAGAGATAGAGAGAGGGGGATGGTGATTGGGTGCGTGTGAGTATGTGTCAGGACACGGCATTACTTAGGAAAAAATAAATTGTCGGCATTTAAGGCAGCTGGGGGTACGTGCTCTCGTCTCCGACATGCGTGACGCGCTTTTTGGCGTCAAAATTCCATCTTTCTTATTCAAATATTTCTTTTCGTGTCTCAGAAAAGGAAGTGAATATTGGGTGGGTTTTTGGTAAACATACTCACTCTTCAGTTTGGTGTTTGTGGGACACGCATTTGTTCTTCTTTATTTTTTTCGTTTTTGTTTTTTTTGTGTGGATATTTTAATTTTTTTTACTAACTAGAATATTGTTGGTCTGAAAAAAGAATGTCTTTTTCCATCCCAACACATGATCGTTCTTTTTCTCTACACAACAACGACAATGTGATGAAATTACAGTTTTTAGTTATTCCAGAAAAAGTAGATTTGATATTTTTTTCCCCACATCTATTTTTAACCTACTTATTCCAAAAGTGTTACAGCAAAATCCTTATTTGAGAATTTGTGTATTGGTTTTTTTCTTAAGCTTATGTTGAATAGCCAATAAATAATTTGGTGCATTTTTCCCTATAAGTTTCTTAATAGAAAAAAGTCAATCTCAATATGATCACTTTAGGGGTCAAATCGTTGTTCCATGACTTAGTGTACGTTCACTTATTTGTCATGACAAAGGACTAGGGCAAGTAAGTGCAGTTACTGTTCACATAAATAGTATATGCCCTAGTAATTTTGTTGTTTTGCTTTTCCACCTATTGTAATGACAACTCAAGAACAATTACTATTCACATGGAATTCATTTTATTTATATGTATGAGATTAATAAATAAAAAATTGCTAGGTATTTGTATATAAAAAACTATGAGTCTTTGGTATCTTTTCATAATTTTTTTCAATTTTTTTCTTCGATGATGTCAAGTTGGCATCAGCGTGCCGCGGGCAAAGGGTCAGGCAGATCTTGCCTGGGCTTGGTGGACCCCATGTGTTTCCAGGGCAATAACAAACCACTGGAGCCAGTTTTGGAAGCCTAAGGGGACTTGGGCTGAACTCACCGCTGAAAATGCTCTTAGAATAGGACTATAAGTCGTCTCGTTACAGATCTCGAGTTCGAGTTAAGCTTGGCTTAAATTTAGCTCGTCTAAACTCAACTCGTAACATAAACAAGTCAATCCGAGCTTGGCTCGTTTAAGAAACAACCAAGCTTGAGATTTGATATATTTGGCAAGTGTGGTTACTGTTCATGTGAATAGTATATGCTATAGTAATTTTTTTTTAATTTTTCCACCTATTGCCATGACAACTCAAGGAAAAATACTATTCACATGGGAATTCATTTTATTTATATGTATGAGATTAATAAATAAAAAATTTGCTAGGTATTTGTATATAAAAAACTCTGAGTCTTTGGTATCTTTTCTTAAATTTTTTCAATGTTTTTCTTCGATGATGTCAAGTTGGCATCAGTGCCTGCGGGCAAGGGGTCAGGCTGATCTTGCCCGGGCTTGGTGGACCCCATGTGTTTCCAGGGCAGTAACAAACCACTGGAGCCAGTTTTGGAAGCCTAAGGGGACTTGGGCTGAGCTCACCGCTGAAAATGCTCTTAGAATAGGACTATAAGTCGTCTCGTTACAGATCTAGAGTTTGAATTAAGCTTGGCTTAAATTTAGCTCGTCTAAACTCAACTCGTAACATAAACAAGTCAATCCGCTCGTTTAAGAAACAACCAAGCTTGAGATTTGGTATATTTGGATGACAAAGTTGAACTCAAAGATCCTTTATATGAGCATTGTATTATTCGATTACTGCTGAGCTTGTGAGTTGTGTTATAGTTGCCTGCCGCCATCCATGACTTGGGAAAATAAAAAATAAGGGCAGAAATAGTATGGTGACGAACAACAGAGAGACAAAGATGGTGAAACATTCGTGCATACTAAGATGAGTGGGTTGTAATTTTCAAAAGGTTTGAAATTAATAATGAGATTAGTGGAGTAGCAAATGATTTCACTTGTAGCTAGGATATTGCCACCTTTATAGTAGTAGTATTAAAATGTGTTAAACCCTAATCATCAAAATCCAATTCACAACACATGCATGCACAGTGCACATCACAAATGACTGATATATAACTCAACAAAAGAAAAAAGAAAAAAAATAATAACATTTGTTAATTTAAGAAACCATGAGTCGAATAAAATGTATGATCAAGGAAGAAGTTTGAATTTTATTTACTTTTTTTTTTGTCGGAACTAAAGTTCATCTCATAAAAAGGCATAAATACACAACATAAAAATAAGATTCAACAAATTGAGCTCAGCATCAATGCAACAAGGCCATAGGTTTTTATCTTGAACTCAATCAATCGAATTCAATTATAATATGAATTAGATTGGATTGGATTGAATTTTCAACCCAAAATAAGAAGGTTAATGAGAAAACTCTTAAAATAAGAACTTTCGAGAAAATGAAAAAAATAGGAAAAAGAAACTAGCAAAAGCAAATGGGCGCACGAATAATGGCTGGGAGAGTCGCTGTTGTCCTTTTCGGGGTTGAGAAAACCATAAAAACCAGTATAATTGGTGATGGCTAGCAGTCTTATCACATGAAAATCAGAAATGGCACTGATTGTATTATTGTAGGGGGAGCTTTGAAGAAACTCATCTGCCCAATGCAAAGCAATGCCTTCCTTGTGGGGGTCTGGCTGGTTCTGATCTTTGAGTTTCAGCTAATACCTCCACATCCATCAAAATGCTTTTGACCATTACCAAATTGACACCTCTTTTGTGTACCTTCCTCCTCCCTGTCCCTGTGACCTTTGATCCGACTGCATGCCCGCCAATTGCCTAATTTTCATGAATGTATTGTCAAATCCCTCTTCTTCAAGAAACAACTTGAACATTTTTAGCTTTTAAGAGAAAATGAAACAAAAAGAAGAATGCTCATCACTTTAGTTTTCAAGTGTCATTTCATATCATTATTCTAAATTGGGGGTTTTATGGCCGAAATGGAATTCAACAGTTGACATCAACTACCCTTATACATCGACCAAAATAAATATATATATAAAAAATTAAAAACTACCCTTAGAGCACTTCTACTTATTTATCATGGTAAAGACTCAGGGCAAGTAAGGGCAGTTGTTGTTCACGTGAATGGTATCTACCTTAGCAATTTTTTTTCCTTTTTCCACCCATTGCCATGGTAACCCAAGGACAATTACTGTTCATATAGGGTTCATTTTATTTTTTATTTTTTTTATAAGTATGATATTAATAAATAAATAATTACTAGGTATTTATTTTATTTTTTTAACTGATTGGGTATTTTTTCATAATATTTTCCTAAATTTTTAAAGTTTTTTATTCGCTGGCATCAATACCCGCATGCAGTGGGTTGGGCTGATCTTTGCTTGGGCCTTGCCCGAGCTTGATGGACCCCACGTCTTGCCAGGGCTGGATTTCACTGCTGGAATAGGTTTTGGGAGCTGGGGAGGCCTTTTGCCCTGGACTAGGCTCACTGCTGGAAATGCTCTTATGCATAGACATTCAAATTCACACATTCATAATTTCAAAGAATAAGATTGAAATGCTAATTTAATACTATTAGTAATTAAAATAACTACATAATACATAATGAATCGTGATCATGTTTAAGGCCTTTCACTCTAGGGTGACAATCCATACTTAATTCCATGAGCGCCTAACAAATTCAAAACTTCTCACGAGTGGTTTTTCAGAAACATGAATCTCTAAAACCTTTTCCTCCCTAAGACATAACTTCCCTCAAGTATAGATACATATTTTTTATACCTCAATGAAACATCTTCAAAACTCATTTTTTTTAAGGACTTTTTCTATTGAAAGGAGTGATAACATACTAAATTCACACACACTACATGAATTCTAGGACTCGAACTCAGACCTTTCTTGGAGGGAGCATTTGCTCCAAACCACTACACTAGTAGGTTCTTTGCCTCCAAAACTCATTTAAATATACAAGTCTTTACTGTTTAGGGTATTAAATTGCACATCCAACCAACATAATGTCATAGTTTGAATTGGGTTGATTTAGGCCTGAAACTAATAGCATAGCTTAATCGAACCAAACCAACCCATTATGTTGTAATTTTTTTTTGGGTCAAAATTATGTTGTAAATTGAATAATGGTTGATGGAGAAATTTGAAGAGAGAGGTAACATCATATTCAAATGATTTAGGAACTTTACTGATACCAAAGTGCGGGATGAAACATAATAGAAAATTGTGATTTAAAAAAGAAAAAACCTCTAAAAAACCCTAGCCGTACTCTGGTCTCCTTTCTCCTGGTCGACAACCAACAACAAGGAAGCTACGGAGGGAGGTGGCCACTGCCCCTTCTCCCCTCCTCCCATCTTCCCCTTCCTCTCCTAATTTCTCCTTCTTTTTCTCCCATCTTTTCCCTTCCTCTTATCCCTTATTCTCCTCCCTTTCCCCTCCCTAGATAGTTTAGATTTGTTTAGATCTAGGTCTATTTGGGTTTTTCAGAAACATGAATCTCTAAAACCTTTTCCTCCCTAAGACATAACTTCCCTCAAGTATAGATACATATTTTTTATACCTCAATGAAACATCTTCAAAACTCATTTTTTTTAAAGGACTTTTCCTATTGAAAGGAGTG